CCCTCGCCTACTATTAACGACGCGGAGCAAAAATAGGAGTTGGGCCGAATTGCATGTAATTCTTCCACTATGGGAGTGTTTAGCTTGCGAGCTAAATTTTGGGCAGGCTTTAGAAGATATTTCATATTTTATAACAAAATTGGAATAAAATACGATAAAATATCTGTTAAAATGTTTACTTTTTGATGATTTTAGATTAATATTTTAATATATACAGAGAATAATATCTTATTTCTTAAAAGTCTACATTTTATCTTTTTCTAATTAGGAGATACGGTGATGTTTCGACGCTAAGAGCACGCGCGCGCTGCATAATGGGGTAAAACGCCCGAAAATTGGATATTAATTTTTACATTTTTATTTTCAATAAAATTTAAAATAAATTTAGAATAAATGAAATAAATACATAAACGATAAATGAATATCCCAAACAAAGTTTAAAATTGTGATATAAGACGTTTTTAAGTTGTTTTTTAGACGCAAAAAACGTCTTATGATTCAGACACTTTGTTTGAAATGTTTTCAAACAAAGTTTATTTTTATAATATACAAAGTATTCTAGGTTTGAAATTTTTCTGTATAATATTCCGTATAATACATATTTTATAAATATACTCTATTTTTTTATATAATTAGATATATTTGTAATATACTAAAGACACTTCAAACGCTAAAAAATAAACGAAGTATATTTATTTTATTTAAAAATAAATACTTTTTAACACAAACTATAGAAATTAAAGCTTTACACGGTCTAGCTGGATCTTAAATATCTGTATGATTCTTGTGTGAATTTATATACTACGTATGTAATTCTTAGAAATGCACGCCGAAATGATTTTTTGGTCTTGAAACGCTAACCAAATAACTACCGCAGTAATATCACGAGTTAAATTGACTAGCAATTTAACAAATTTTTTGATGCTTATTCACATTTTCGAAATGATCTTAATAATGTTGAATGGCATATTAAATCTGTAAATAATTAATTCTTATTGCGAAAAATATTACCTCAGCCGGAAGTCGAACCCAGATCTCTTGCGTTTCTTACGAGCGTCCTAAATCTTTAGATTACCGAACTTTACCGGACTAAATACTTTTTATTTTAATGTTATATATTTTAAATTATGTTTGCATTTTTTTTTATGTAATCTAGATTTTATTTATTTCTGCTTTTAGCGTTATTCAGGATCAGCAACGAGAACGTGGCGGATATCTGATCCCTTTGGGATGCTTATTTATTGTGTCTCCTGGCCCCTCACATTTCTGAAAAACATGTCACAATGAAAATCATTTTTATTCATTTATTTTGTTTCATTGTCATTGAATTCTAAAAGATTTTCAACATACTCAGAGAATTCTCTTATCTTATTTTTAATAAGCTGTGATGATGGAACAATTGGGTCACATGCTATTAACAAATTGTTAAAAATATCCTGTATTGTTACAGTATATATTATACAATAGCGCAACTCTGTCACCTTTATATAATGTTGGCCAAAATCGACTGCGCATGCGTGAAATAAGTACGTTACCTAGAATTAAGGTGAAATCACACGGTGCGGAATAGAGAGTACGTTCTGCATTGCCAATGATGCATTGAAAATCTACAGCACACGTATTTCAGCATTGGCAGTGAATATCGGAACGCATCCAGAAAATGCGTCATTGAAACAATCAATCAGCCATTCCACATTTTTCCATTACGCAAACTTTGTGTGTTATGTTCACATGATGCTTCAAAGATATATCCAGTATGAATATAATTTAAAAACTACTAACCCCATAGTTTGCTTATTAAAATGAAATATAATTTTTCAAAAACAATTGTAGTATTTAATGTTTTACAATTAATATTTACAATAAAATCTCATAACAATTTTTTGAATTGCTTTGACGCATTTACTATCATTTTTCCGCATCGTACGAACATAGCATATAACATACAAAACTTGAGGAAAAGTGCGGTAAAGGTCACATGTAATGCATCATTGTTTTTTTGAACGATGATTAGTGAAAAACGAGTAACGGAAGTAAATTTTACTCCCACAATCGGCTTTTCAGTAGTCAATTCACATGAATGGTCTGTGTCAAAGCGCTATTATCTGTATGAGGATTGGAGCTTAGTTAATAAGATTAGACAATATATATAATATAATAAGAGTACGACAACAGGATAACGATCGGATTAGTCCGTCAAATTAAGGCAAAAGCGGAAGTTGCATACCCATGTTTATTATTAGTGTACAGCTGGTCACAGAAAGGTTGCAACACTTTTTCTTCGATGGGTTTTGGAACGCAGCTTGCTCTCTGAGTAATTGGTTCTTACATGGATCTATAAATAAGAACCAATCGCTTGGGGAGCAAATTACCGAAATCAATCGAAAAGAAAGCAACCTTTTAGACTTTACATACATAAAATGTACACCATTTACACAGCCATTTACACTGTTTTGAGCGAGTTTTCTGTATATCAGAAGTGAGTTATTTATTTATTGGTTATTTTATTTGGCGAGTCATTCAAATTGAGAAAAAGGAGAGATGAGTGGATTACAATGGAATTATGCTTTTAATGAATAAGAATTGTGAATTTCTCGTGTAGTAATTAACAACTTAACCTTTTGAGGAACACATTTTTCTTCTAAACAAATTATTGAAATCATAGGTCATCTATGAGTTTTCGGAGTCACTGATTACGATTCTGACGCCAAAATTACAAAATTAAAAATGGCGGATCCAATATGACGACTATTTTATATGATACTTATTATGTCCTAATAAGTATTTACCATATGCATAAAGAAAATTATCCAATTACATTTCTGTTATAAAGACAAACGTAAAATACAATTGGATGATTTTCTTTATGCATATGTTTATGCGGCTATGCAAGTTTGTAATATACCCTTAGGTTTGATATTTCTTGATATTAGAAAATGAGTCTCGCATGAAAAGCTTTTGTATGCGGTGAGCTGCAGCAGCAACAAAATACTAGAAATTTGTTCACATCGCACGCTCCAACATGCCCAATACGTTCGCGTCATCGAAATCAATATGGCGATTACATGTTCACGTCGCGTTAAAGCTTAAATACAATACATAGGCACTGGCAAGGGAATAATTCTCCAATCAGAGCTCTGGTATGTAAGTTCGATATTATATTCCATAATTCTGATTGAACTCGTTATTCCTTGTTCCTTGTGTTTAAAACTTTAAATTATACTTCATGGATCAATTAAGAGTACGCTCCATCTCATTTCAGAAGGTGGTACGATTGGGACATGTTAAGCACGCATACTTAATGATTAAAAACGTTCTGTATTGAAAAAAATATTTCAGATTCATTTTGTATAAAAATACATTTAATAAATGCGTTTTGATATAAATATAAAAATATAATATAATATAATATAATATTAATAACAATATAATATAATATTAATAAAATGAAATAATAAAATAAAATAAAAAAATAAAAAAAAATAATATTAATACAATAAAATAAAATGTAATGAGGATTGACTATTCTATATAAATTAACGTAAGTGAAAAATAAATTCTCATCAATATTGAATTAAATATAATAATTTTTTAATCAGAAATTAACATTTAATTGTACAGAATATAATAGGATAGTCGTTCAAAATGACATTTTATATGAAATTGTTGACTGAGTTAATTCTCGATAACAATCAGAGAAGAATCAGTTAAACACAATTTTTACAATTATGGACTTTCAAACTTCTGATTTGATACTTACTTCGATCCGTAATATCTTAACGCAGGAATAACTAAGATTAGCCAAGAGTGATAATTTTTATTATGTATCATATGTTAGTTGACATTGGATGGGATATGGATTGGGGTTACATAAATAAGATGAGGGGGGGGGGGAAGAATTTTCTTTATTATCACTGATGAAGACTTTGTAAGTCGAAATTCATAGCGTTATATGAATGTAATAAAAGACGAATTTTATTAGTTTGCTACATTTGCTCGTTTTTTTTTTAAAGTCTTGACATTTTAATTTATAACTTTAATATTTATTAAAAAATGCATTTATTTTGTATAAAAACGCTTTTCAAATAACCGAACACAAAATATCTGAAACGAGGCACATGTCCGATCCATTCAAGTGGTCTCATTGGATTAGGTTAAATGACATGCTCACTTCTCCTAAATCCAAGCTCTCTCTCTGGGTTAATTTGGAGCATGCGTCGTGAACAAATCTACTATTAAAGACCAATCTTTATGGGAGTTCATGTCCTTGTGAATATTGAAGTAGTTAAGAGTTAAAAACTGATAATATTATACTAATTTTATGATTTATTAATTTAGACGTATTTATGCATTTAGAATTCAATAATACTCGATTTTTTTTTTAAATTGATTCAGTGTTATCATTAAAATTTAATCATCGACAGAGATAATAATTGCAGAGAAAAAATTGTAATTTTTCTGCATATATAGAATATTATAACTTTACAAATATGCATATTTATTTATGGAACATTTATGTAATAAAAAAATTACGAATTTAATAATGAGCCAAATATTTATTTTAATAACAAATTTATATCAATTCGATAATGTCACTGTTCTTCAACTACCTTCTTTATAGCAACTACCTTCTTCTCGCCAAAAATTTGCCCAGAATTGACGTTTTTAATAGTATCTCGTTGGTGACTGCAGCAAACACATGCCATGACCAATAAGGAGTTAGACGCATAATGGATCTGGCTTTTTATTGATGATCACATACATGAGTCAAACTTTAATGCCATTTCCACGTAGATTAACTTTAATCTCAGTTCAACTTACTCTTTGTCTTTTTCTTTAGAATTAGAAAAAGAAGAAGAGTAAGTTGAATTGAGATTAAAGTTAATCTACATTGATGGAAACGAGTATAAATGTTTCTTTGTAAAGGCACCTTTAGCCGGCGCGTTTCATGAGATTCGTCTATTCGCTTCTTTGTGCCACGCGATTTATGGAGGTGCGTATACTGTGCCGCTGACAATGAGCTGCGGCGGTGACTGTGATAAGTGATCCTAAGTGATCCGTATAAACCCATCTTCATCGCTGAACGCGAGCAGTGGCAGTGGAGAAAGCTCGCACGTCGGTTGCTGTAAGAGCACACCTCTTGATGACTCGCGCTTTACGTGAGCCGCAGGCAAGTCGGAGCTCGCAATTATGTTTGATGTACCGCAGAAGTTCTACGAGCTGTGTCGCCTTTGTTTATCCCTGGATGGTGTCAAGTATTCCATATTCAGGGAGGCGGGCACTCAACAGAATTTCGCCGAGAAGATATCGGCGTGTCTGTCAATCACAGTGAGTGCGTTGTTGTTCACGATTAATTCGCATTTTATTGCGATGCAACCATCTGTGCTATATACTCTCGACGCGGCCGTATACCGTGTATGCGTCTTTCCGTTTGCGTCGTTCTCATCGTCGCCGTGATATTGCCCTCTCTTTCTCTCGCTCTCTCCTCCCTCTTCCCCCTCCCCTTTGCCCTCCTCCCTCCTCTCTCCTCCCCTTTCCATCGCTCACTCACTCAGCTTTAGAGACGCTCTCGCATGCGCGCGCGTGCACTCTACTGTGAGACTCGGAGTCGCTCCTATTAGCTGTTTCTTTCTAGCGCATACACTCACGTTCGCGATCGCGCTCGTGCTTGGCCGACTTGGGCCGACTGCGTCACTGCATGAATGTGTGTATGTGCGCGTGCCACGAGAGAAAGTTTGGCAAGAGATGTGTCGGCGAGATAAGCCGACAAGCAGCAATGGCATTTAAAATGGCAGTGATAAGCCCCCCGCGCCAGCACGGCAAGCGAAGCTATAGCCGCGAGTCATAGAGGGATCGGTGCGGGAGAGGGGAGAGAGTGGTGGAAGGAAGAGGAGGAGGTTGCGGCTCCTTATTTGGGTGGCCTGTTATCATGTTTCACACAGTTTCATACGCTAGTGTCGTTGTCACGCCGCGCTTTACTTGGGCTGATCCTTTAACGTCTTTAATTTATCGGAGGCGTCCATTTGACTGACGCCGTTCGGGAGACACAATCTCGATTATATGTATTTACGGATGAGTTTTTATTGTAAAACTTATACGAGATTATCCTCCCATTCGCAATTTTTACATAAGTGAAAATTAGCGAAAAATAAACAACGTATGATATATATTATTTTTTTCATTTGATATCTTATAGAATATTGTCTTGAATTCAAATTAAACAGACTTCTGATAATTTGATGTTATTATTGGGTATTAATGAATTTTTATTGTAATAATATTATTGTTAATAATTAATTAGCTAAAATTACTACGAAATAAATTAATAACTTTTGTTATATATTTCTGTTAATTGCATATTCTCAGTTTTATATCTGTAGCAATGGTTTTATTACTTATATTAAAATTAATTTTGAATGTATTATATTAAGAGTGTGATTTAGTTTTGAAAATTTTTTTTTCTCAAATACTGATTTATTTAAACAATATATCATGTAAATATTCAATATGTTGTACGATCAACATTTAATTCTCTGAAGTACATTGTGCTGAATTTTCGTCCAATAATGCTTGCAAATCTGCATTTTCCAGCTTTTGTCATTAACATTAACAATTTGTCATAATACAACAAACAGAGATCACCACATTTGAATCAACAGAATCAATAACACATGTTTTAATTGATGGAGCAATATCATCATAAATTTCTATCAAAATTCTATGACTTTCAACCACTGTTTTCTTCTGATTAAAAAAAACAAAAACAATGCATGCTGAAAATGATCTTTAAGAAACTCCATTTTTTAAATTAAATACAATGTTTACTACGTTCATTGTTAGTAAACAACTAAATATCATGAAATATAAAAACATTAAGAAATAATAACTATGATTGGAATGTCTTTAACAACAGTGTCATTTCTTGCAAAATGACATTAGTGCCATTTCTTGCAAAATCTTCAAAATTAATCATACTCCTAATAATTAACTCTTTTTAAAATATACTTATTGTTTTTATTATTTGTAATATGTAATTTGTTACATGATTTATTTTTGATAGGTAAAAGATGATGATTCCTTACCGCCGATTATTTGCCAGCAATGCGTATGTAAGTTGGATATGCTGGACAACTTTCGCGAAATATCGCAAAAATCTGATGTCTTACTCAAACAGTACCTGGATTATACCAAGCAACAGTCGTCTCATGACGAGCTGGTATTGAATTTGAATTGTTTGTGAGATTAAGTAACAAATTATATACTGTTTTGTTAAATTGAATATATATGTATCTAGAAGAAAGACAAAAGTAAATAATGTATTTATGCCTTTTCTTTTTACATTTTTAGAAAGAGTCTTTCTCCACTGCCAAAGTAGCGGGCGAGAGCCCTCTGCAATCGTTCCTCGAATTGAATAGGATGTTGTTCAACGAGGAGCCTAACTCCGAGCCGGCCAGCATTAATCAAAACATAATACCTCAAACTCAAACGCATCATCTAGAATTGCAGAACAGTGATATGCAAGAACATAATATTAAGTGCGAGCCAGACGATGACAACAGTTCCAATAGTTCTGATCCTGAACGATTAGAGATTGAAGATCGTGATGAACAGGAAATTGAAGGCGAGGCAAATGGTTATGATATGACCGTTAGTAAGAGGATTAGAGTCGAGAGTAATTACGATGGTTCCGAATCCAACACAGCAAATTGCAGTCCAGTTAATAGAATGGACACACCAGAGAGTAACTGTTCCGACGGTCACATTGATCAAGAAACGACAAAGCTATGGCAAGCTCTAGCCAAGTAAGTAAGTTAAATTTGTTCGGAAAATATTTGTTCACTTGATACCTAGTCGGTATCAAGCTAGCTAAGGTGTACAAATATATTCCATGTGAGTTATATATGCTTATAGATAAAATAAACAATATGTATTCGATTTTAGAGTCAATATTGAAAGCATTGTTATTTTAATCCATTATAAATTACATATTTAAGGTTCCTGACTAGTCGCGGATATTGGATCGTTACAGTAAAATATATATGAAGTAAAAATAGATTATACATGTGCATTGAGTAAGGCACTTTACGTGTCTTTTATTATTTACTAATTGTCAGGGGAGAGAATAGGGATATCTTTGACTTATTTCTATAAATGTTTTAAAGTGATTTTATTATTTTGTTTTATCCAAATTCTCTCTCTCTCTCTCTCTCTCTCTCTCTCTATTTATAAATGGCATACAAAAAAATTTTCAACGTGTTATTTCTCGCTTATGATGTCATTTTTATATATCTGCGGCGATTAATCAGGAGCCTTAGGTAGGGTGCGTTGGCTTTGTTTCACGTGCGATAATCATTTTATCTTTGTCGTCTATCAAATATTATAAATAAGGACAATGATTATTACAAGCGCTATGAGCGCCAAAGAAAACGCATTCTTAATGTGTTACACATGATTTCATATTCTCATATTATTATGAAATTGTGAAATGACAAATTAAGTTATATATAAACTTGAATAGCTAAAATTTTATCATTAAATTTACATATTGAAGCAAATTCTTATTAATCATTATAATTGCATTATAAACTAATAAAAATTTAAACTAATAAATTTGTTTTTATTCAATTTCGATATTAATAAGCCATTTTAGCCTGATTCAATTGCTTTAGGAGTTATTTTATTAAATCCGGTGATCAAATTGTGATTAGGTATTGCTATAATAATTATCTTGTATATAGACTTGTATATAGACTTTTTTTTATGATTATAAGTCATGACTGAAGCTAGTAATAAATTCTATAAGCAGATAGATATTTACAATAGATAAAAGAATAATTACAATTACACACATATATTTGCATTTTGTTAACATAGCAACAGAAGCTTGGAAATTACGCGAACCAATGGTGATAAACTGAACAATGGATTTACTGGCGAAGCTACCACTTTACTACGTTCTTTGATCAACAATAGACAGATCGGTATTACTACTATTGATTCGGACAAAATGTCCTCGCAAATCAGATTTTATAGGGATACTCAAGGGACAGCTACAGAGCGTATGTTGGCTGATTTTCCTGTGCTTGGCAATCGTACTAATATAGGAAGCTTAGAAAATAAGGTAAGAGATAATTGATCACGAAATTAAACATTTCTATATGAAAAAATAAAAATAGAAATCAAGATAATAGAGATAGATAGAAGGAGAGAAAGAAAGAATTTGCGAATTGATATTTGATAAATAGAAAAAAAAAAGAAAAATTTGCTAATATTTGTATTTGTGTGAATCGTTTTGGTGATTCTTTTGCGTGCAACAGTAATACCTCATCCTACCTGATCCTAAGCAGACAAAACATTTTTCGCCAAATACGAACATCTGTACATCTGTAAATAGAAAGAAAAGACCCAGGTATAATGTTGGGAAAAACTCAGGTCATCGGTTGAACCATCGTGTCGGTTGGGCCATTGGCCGATCGAGAAATTCTTTTAAGCCTATTCAGGATATATTCCAGGTAGAATTCCGTAAATAAAAAATAATCGAGAACTCTTGCAGCTCCATTTGCTTTTTATTAACGGATATCAAACTAAATATAATAATAAAATATATGGAAAAGATTCTATCTATTAATTGTAAAACATTTAAAATTAAAATATTTAAAACAATTTTTTTTAATTATCTTATCATTTTTTTATCCTTTTATTGATTTTATATCTTTTTTTTTCTATCTAATTTCGATTAATAAGTCTGGCGATAAAATTACAATAAACAAATAGATTTTTTTTTTGTTAATTTATATGTTAATTTATACTGACAATAGAAAATTCACGCATTCATGTATATACATGTATATAGGGTGTCTCACTATACAATACTTTCATATTTTAGATACAAAGTAAAGTAAAAAATCCTAATACGAAAATATCAAGATCACAATAATTTTTTATTTGATTTTACATTCACAGTTAATATTGAATTTTGATATTGCACAACTAATTATTAACAGCATTAACAATCATTGTTATTGAAATTATTAAATCTAAAACTTGAATAAAAGTTTTATTTGAAAAACAACATGAACAATAATTATAAAATTTTATTTATTGCTTTTTTATTCTTTAACATTTTTTATTCTTTAAGACGAATAATATTGTGTAACTATTAATTAATTATTGTGTAATCGTATTAATGAATCAAAGAAGTAGGATTAAATAGTCCATATTTTTTTAACAATTCAAATTTTTATTAAAATTGCAAATTTTGATTTATTAAAATTATATAATTTTATTCTTTTTAGGAGTGAGGAGAAAAAAATATATGTGAAAAAGGAAAGTAATAATTAAATAATCTTCGCAAATTTTTTTTAGAAGCGAAGACAAATATTTTTTTTGTAAAGGAACTTTAACTTTGATAATTTTCTATAGTTGAAGTAATGTAAGGTAATAAAATATTTAAATTTTTATTAAAATAAAGAATAAAAGGATTTGCTTGTGTAACATAGAATTTGTTAATATTAATCTTCTTAATTTCAATATGTTTTTAATGTTATTATAATGTGATATGAATGAAAAATTTTTTATGTTGACTTATCTAATGTTTCGTATTAAAAAGATTAAAATTAAGATTTGTGAAGATTGTTTAATTACTTTTCTTTTTTCACGTGTATTTTTTCTCAAGTTTTTAACTTCTCAGAGAAATAAAATTGTATAATGTTTTAATAAATCAAGATTTGTAATTTTAATAAAAATTTAAATTGAAAAAATATGGACGATCTTGATCTTTGATTTATTAATAAATGATTATTAATAAATGATATTTAATTAATAATTACACGATATTATTCCTCTTAAAACATAAAAAAGTTAAAACATAAAAAAAAATTTAAGTAGCAATAAATTAAATTTTATGATAATTTTTTATGTTATTTCTCAGTGTGAAATTTGTATGTTAGATTTAACAATTCCAATAACATTAATGCTGTTAATAATCAGTTAGTATAGTATAGTATAATAAAAAAAATTTGATATTGACTGTGAATGTAGTAAGGTAGAACGGTGCTTCGTCATTTTCAATCTTAAAGTTAAATTTACGCCAACAAACAATATCTTTTTGCAGTAACGTGCTTATAATTACTTTACATAATCATGATTGCTTTTTGAAAGCACAAGTATGGCCTTTAAATACTATCAGTATACACTATTCAGAAACATAAACAATATCGTGAAAAATGAACGAAAGTCTCTCTATTCTATCAGATGCGCATTATTATGAGCCTTAGCGTGCGGTTTATTATAAAAAATATGTTAAAAATATTAAAAACATCGATCGAGCATGTTTTAAACAATTTAAAACATGTCTAAAACATAATTTTTACTAATCATGCATAAGAAAGATTCCATTGTTTTGGTCAAAATTGAAAATGGAAATGAATAACTTGTAATAATGTTACAGTTACAAGTTACTTTTTTTAGTAACTGTGTTACTATTGGAAATGTGCATTAATTTTAAGGGATTTTTTTGATAAAAATATGGCTTTATTGTGACAAAATGGTTACAAATTGATCATTCAAAATATTATATGTCCATCACTAGCCATTACTTTTTCCCATCTTTCTGGTGATAGGATTTCATGTCGAAAGAACGACACATCTTTTGAGGCTATCCATGAATCGACCCCATTTTTTGATATCTTCATAAGAATGGAAGCGCTGCTCAGACAGGCCATGAATCATCGATCGAAATAGGTGGTAATCAGAAGGAATAATACCTGGAGAAGATACGGCGGATGTGATAGGACATCCCAGTTAAGCGCTTCTAACCGGTTTCGCAACATGTGACCAAACGTTGTTTGTCGTACTAAAAAATTACTCTTCGCGTTATCTTTTGCTTCAATGCTCGGCTCAATTGCATTAATTGTTATTAGTAATATTCTCCAGTGATGATTTCGTTGGGTTGGAGCAGTTTATAATACACTACACCTAGCTGATTCCACCAAATACAGAGCATGAGCTTGACGCTATGAATATTCAGCTTTGCCGTTGATGTTGATAAGATCGCCTGGTCTGCATCATGACTTTTTGCGTTTCGTAGTTTCGGATTATCGTAGTGTATCCATTTTTCATTACGATATGATACAAAAAACTTTTTCTTCTGTCTTTGAAGCAACAATTCACAGGTCATTTTGCGCCTTTTTGATGTCCCCTGGTTTCAACTCGTATGGCATCCAATTTCCTTGCTTTTGAATCATTCTAATGATTTTCAAACGTCTGGAAATCGTTGATTGATCAATATTTAATGATTTTGCAAGTTCTTCTTGTTTTTGATTTGAGTCTTGATTGAGTGAAGCTTCCACTTCCTCATCTTCAAATTTTTTCGACTGACCTTGTCTTCCGTTAAAATCACCTTTTTTGTAGCATCGAAACCAGTACTCACATGTTGAAATTGATGGAGTATAATCATCAAGCTTCCGACAGTATTCGTTGACTTTCAGCAGCACTTTTCTTCAAATGGAAGCAAAAAAGCAAAGCTTCTCGCAAATTGCGTTTTGTTCGCACAAAATTCGACATATTTAATGCTCATAAAAACAATGTTATTTACACTTTCAAAATGATACATACTGAAAACTAAAGTCACATGATGGTTAAAACATGAAAACAACAAATATGGCTCAATGCGATAGCACTAATTATGCCATCTTTTGAAAATCCTTTAAAATTAATGCACACTCTCAATAATTATATTTTTTGGTAATGGTAACGAATTTTATAATTACTTTTTACTGCTAATTTTTGTATCTTGGATCTATTTATGCCATAATTTTTGTTTATTCAATCTTCAATCTTTAATAAATAGTAGTCAGAATTTGTTCTGATTTTAAGACCGTTTTAATGTCTTAAGATGTTAATATGCTTCTGTGATTAGTTTTTATTTATTATTAAATTTAAGATAATTTATTGTTTTTAAAAAGATAAATTTTGATTATATCACTAATTATGTTACAATCTCTTTTCCTCTTCTTTTTCTCTCTTTCTTCCTTTCTCGAGTTGTTAAAACATGTCTGACCAATCAAAAGTGGCTATTTCGTATCTTGATTATGACGTGATCTCTAAAAATCAAATGTTAAGATTCGCTTTGATCAAAAATATTAACTTTTCTCTCATATGATTTATTTTTTGATTATTTTATTGATTAAATTTCATTTATAGTTGATGTATGATATTAAAAAAGTATGAAATATAATATAAATCCGAAAAAAAATTTTCTTTTAATGTAATGGAAATAATAAAATAGTGTAATATGCAGTCTGTACAGAGTGCTTCGATAGACAGTAATCCGTCTAGCCCTGCCAGTATTGGTCGTAAGGAGATGGCGACGACGACAAAAGGTCGTAGAAAACAAAGCTATCCGAGTAAAGCTCCAGCAAGTCCGGATATTATCGCCAGTTATCAATATGACCATAGCAATGAAGAGCAAGCACATGATTTTACCACATGGTCGAGCAAGATAAAGAATAAGGTATTGTCCTCTTACGAGAAAAGGCCTGTTGTTCATCACGACCCGATATTATCAATTATTCACAATAACCGATTGGCTGTTTTAGATGGACGATCAGAAATTTGATCAACAAAGCGGTAACGTAGCAAAAAAGGTCGATATGTCTTGTACAAATTGCGGCACCATGACAACAACTATTTGGAGAAGGAATATGAAGGGCGAGATGGTGTGCAACGCTTGCGGATTGTATTATAAGCTACATGGTGTTAATCGTCCGGTTACTATGCGAAGAGACACTATACATACGCGCAGACGTAGACCCAAAGGCGAGAAATCGACGAGGCATAGAAGTAAAAGAGATTCTTAGCGATTTGGCATTTAGTATATTTTTTTACAACTGCTGAAAAATATATATACATTATAAAAAAAAGAACTAAAATATTTTATAATAATATTACATGTAGTAATAATATCAAACAGCTTGAATGAAAAATTCAGCGTGGAATGCATATGCTTCCATATGATATGGAACTTGTTAATTTGACAAATCTTGGGTTTTTAATGAATTGAAAAAGCAATGATTCTTTACAATATTATATTCAATTTCTTTTTTTAGCATTTATTTATGGCACTTTAAAAAGAAATTAAGATTGTACCTCTCAATCTTGAAAATTACATTGAACACTATAATTTTTGACCAGTAAATCTATTGCTGTTCTACTTATTTTGTCACAAATTTTAATTACATATGAGTCAGCAATCTCAACATATTCTCGACATTGTTTGCGATTTAACTTCAAATAGTTTTATTAAGCATCATTTATTATTAGAATATTAGTGGTCTCAATTTCCTTGAAAAATATATCTTCTACTACGATAAAGCAGAAATAATCAGTATTTATGAAATTAATAACATTTTTAGAAAAAGGGGACACTGTCTTAGCCTCTCCGTCAATAAGAGAACAAATGGATGCCGAGAGTGCGGATATGCTGAATGCTCTTCGACAACAAATTCATCCTCAGTTGATGATGCATGCGGCGTTGACGCCTACACGCATACCCAGTGGCCATCCGCCTCCATCAGTTGCTTACTCATTACCTTTATCTAGTTACATGATTCATGTAAGTTATTCTCCGTCATATGCTCATATATTTAAATAAGAATTGTTCTTATATTAGCATTTAATGTTATTAACTTTAATTAGATATTTTATATCTAATTAAGGATTAGAGTTAAAAAGGCTAAATACTTTTTATATATTTAACTTAAAACTTTATTTGAATATTTTCTCTATAATTCATCTCTTTTTTTTTATTGCAAATTTGATATTGTCAAAACATAATTTATTAAATTTGTTTTTTAGCCACACATGAAAACCGAAGAGCGTGTGCAACGACACTTGTCTGTGGATGAGGATGCAGACGAAGGTGATGAGGAGAATGTTTCCGATGTCCCTCTCAATTTGGTGGCAACTTCACTCTCGGAGGAAACGCATTAAGAAAAATCTGGTTGGTCGCCGAGGTATGCTTTCTCGACGGCATCGTCTGTTCGGTTTATCTTGAATGAATTTTTAATCTCTCTCTTGGCAGACCTCTTTAAACGTTTTCTCCTGAAAAATAATTCTTGGGGACGTTCCGTAGAGAGTCGTAAGGTTCACGCTGCGATGTAATACGCACGATGAAATGAAATGATATTAATTACTCAGTATTAATTATTCAAGATGTACATATATAAATATATACACATATATACGCGGATACACACACAAATACATATGCACATATACACACATATACAAACATAGATAAAAACACGTAAAAAGTACGCATATGAGAAAATATTTTTATATAAAATTTTATATGTGCTCGCCCGTTGTACATAAACATGCCGCGGGTCCAACCGTGGAGCCGCTCGGAAATGCTTGTCGTCGTCCTGTTTCATATTATACGTATCTTTTCGATTCGTTGTCTTATGATGACAGTGACAGCAACAGCCTTTCCAATGGCATACCTGCAACATCGTTAATGGCTTTCGACATTTAATTGTGTTACGTTCCAAATTTTAAGGTTCTTTCGAAAACTGTTATACGTTGCGTAATGAATGTTGGATTTTTCACTTTATTTTAATGAAATTAAAATACTATTTACATGACATCAAACATTTCGAACAAAATTTTTAAATATAGTCTATTTTATAGGTATGTAATCTCACAAATGAAAAAAAATTTGAATCTTTAACATTAATTGTATTATTCAAACTTGATTATTAACTTTTTGATATATCGGAATAGAAATTAATAATTGACAATGATTAATTATTTAATTATAATTCAATTAAAATTTTATAGTAAATTCTATAGAGAAAAAAAAATTAATAAAAGTACAGAACTCTCAGTATCAAATATTAACAAATAGAGAGTAAAGAACGAATGAAAATCTGTATATAAAAGCTTATTGAAAAAAAAATACAAATATAACTACTTATTACGATCACATAATTGTACAAAAATTAAAAATTTGTTGGATATATTTTCTTATGAATATTTAAGACTCTTGAATATTCAGTCAGTGACACAGAATCAGACGGTGGCCTGGCGAAATGTGGCGAAATCGGTACCCACACACACACAAGCACGAGCCCATGTATGTACATATGCTCTCGGCACTCTGAAAGCGAGCACATGTACATAGACTCGCCATGATAAATGGCTGAACTTATAAGTGTAGAAAAGTAGTGTTTTGATGACGAAATTTGTGTTTTTTATATGCCATTTCGTTATTATTTATTCAATTGCGAAAATATGACTTGCCTCGTACTTATGAAAGTCCTAAAAATGGACAGAAACTATCTTGGAATTTTTATATGTAAAAGTATATATTTTATTCATTTCAACAGTTGTTAAACCGTATTTCTGCCCGAATTTAGGCTCACTTTACTTGCCTTTTACAATCATTTACTGACTATTAAAGTAGACTATTAAAGGACAGTTTCTGCAATTTCTCATTTTTAAGTATTTTAAAGCGATCGTCATTTAGATTTTTCCAAATTGTCTTTATTTACAAATGGCATGCAGCATAAATTAATGTATTTCTCGCCTGTGACGTCACGATTCCAACATGGTCACCGCGACTAGGGAGGAGCCTTAGGCCATGATTAAAGGAAGAAAATGGTAAACTGCATCACGTGACCTGTCTCCTCTGATTGGATACGGGCATCAAAACTAGACATGGAAGAGAAGACTGGTCATGTAATCCCCGTCTTGACGCAGTCATTTACGTGGTGCAATTTGCCACTCTCTCTTTTTGAGACTCTCTAATAAGAACGCATTACATGTTTCGGCTGCCGGGTTGAATTTTTTCTCAGATATACAAAAGTTATAATAAAATATAAAACGCATGAAAACGCATCAGTATTCATTAATTTTTGTCGAACAATGTTTAAAATTTCATATGAGTAAATCTCAGCACGAACAAAAACTGTTCACAAACGGCTGCTCTGCCGTATGGAGAACGCATCTGAAGATTTGATTTTGATTAACGTCTATCGCATTACAAATAATGTAAGTGTTTGTCACAAAATAAAAAATGTAGTCAAATGAATAGTTTAACAAATTAAAAAAGAATCATCACTCTGTAAGATGTGTTGACGCATCAGTAGATAAAATATGACTTCATCGTACTCCTCCAAATATATACAACAAATTTTTTATTTTTGTACAATTATGTGGTCGTAATAAGTAATTATACTCATTATTTAAAAAAAAATAAGCTGTTATACATTGACTCTTATTCGCCCTTTGAATTTTATTTGTCTATAGAAAAACTTTATTAACCTATTGAATGCCAGATTTCTTATTCGCTTGTTTCTCTGGCCAGAAAGAAATTTTCATTATTAAAGCCTATCTTTTATCAAGCATAGCTTGATAAAATGTTAATAATATAATTAAATATTACAGGAAATTATCATGCTTATTACATTTTTTACTTTAGATTTTACTATTATTTTAATATATTAATTATATTTACAGAATTA